CTAGATCTGGCTGGGAGTCTTTGGCTAATTTTTTTATTAGAAAAGGCAGACATTAGTTTTTGACAGGAAGGTTTTGTAGGTCTGAGAGGGGCAAAACAATAGGAAGGAATGTGTTGCTAAACAACCAGATCTCCTTAATTGTGATTGCTTTTTCTTGTCCGCATCAGTAGAATGGGGAACTTGCATCACCTACGTTCTTGATGAGTGCCAGGTTAGATCTATTTTCTTATATGTGTTTTGTGTGTTCTGTTGATTCAGATTTCATCCTAATACAGAATGGGAAAACTTCTAGAAATCTTAACAATTTTGAGAACAAAGGAATGCATTCTCTGTCTAGCATTAATGTGTACTTTCCCTCTTCCAACAGCATGCATAACTATATCATATATATTCCATTATGCCTTTTTCCTTCCTATCTAGGGCAACACTTTTTTTACTGCACTTGTCTTTGTTTACATTTTTAAAGGACTGAACCCAGCTTTTGAAATAGGTATGCAGGATGTATTCTTTCCACGTACTCAGTAAAGGATCTTTTTTTTCTTTTTATGGTTACTATTTGATAGGAAGGGCATTGCCTGCAAGACAGATGCTGTAAGGGGTAACATTTTCAGCATAGACATAATTTAAGCTGAAAAGTTCAAAGAAACTTTTGTGCCTAAAAGAAAACAACCAAGAAAGCAGCAAAATATGGAAAGAGAGAACAAGTAAGTAACATTAAAAATGTTATATTGAAAGAAATTTTCCTAAACCAGAAATTGGGGTTTATTTTTATTCTGGGATAGAGATATCAAGTAAAGAGCGAAGGGTAGTGAGAACAGGAGTGAGAACAGCATTTCACTGCTGTGTGAAATGCTGGTTTCTTAGGATGTTGAAATATAAGAAAAAAATGTAGGAAACATAAAATAGGCTGAAGTGCTCAAAATGAGTTTTGGTGGAGGTGAGAGGAAAACTGATGTGCATGGAAAGCAAAAGGGTTACTTGAGCCGGAAACCTGAATGCAGATTGCATCCTTAAAAAAGATGGATAGCACTATATTTCTTTTAAGAAATTTACATCTAAAATAAACGTACAAGATGAGTAACAGCAACTGGATTTTGTGATGCTGCTCTGAAGAAGAAATGTGCCTGGGAATTTTGTGTTACCAGGCAGGCAGAGCCTCTTGGTGCATGACTTTCTGAAGGTAAAATTCCTCTTCTCATTGTGCTAGGGAAAAAAGGTTGTATGACCTATGTGCTCAGTGACTGATCCTCACTGCAGTTTTATTTTTTAATAGACTGCCTTTGAGGTGAGGAGAAAGAGTGACTTAAGAAGTGAGGAACAACTTGGGATAAGTGTGACAGAGAATAATTTTGGGCAATTTTCTATTAAATTTCTATAGGGAACTTTGTAACTACAAAGTTTTGTTTGAGATTTCTACTACCTTCCTGTAGTAGATGAGGGAATCAGGTGTATCTGTATGGGATCCTGCATGGGATGCTGCAGGACGATATGCAAAATCCTAAGGGCAATGTGCTCCAGTCCAGCTTCTGAGACTGTAGGAGGAAGGATTATATATTTTAGTGAAACGAGGAAGAAATTTCTTTAACTATTACAAATCTGCTGTTGACCCTCTGTTGCCATCCCTTTCTCATGTGAATGTGCACTCAGAATTGTTGTCTGCATGCAGAAATCTTGTGTCTGCCTGTTTCTACTTGATAGACTCCAAGTTTTGCAATGGTAAGAGCAGTCTTAACCACCTGAGTGACACATAGAAGTAGCAAACTGTGGTTTGTAAGCAGTTCAAGCTGCCCCTGCTTATTCTTGCACTACAAAGCACTGCACAGTTTTGTTTAACTTCTGTACATTTGCTACACTCTACTCTAGTTATACAAACCCATTAACCTGCTGTCAGATATTGGCTGGTCTGTTAAATTTGCTTATTACCTTTCATAACAAGAGGGCAGGGTTTGATGGTTTTCTTGTGAGAGGGAATGTCCTGCTTTGAGCGATCCTATACAGGAAATTCTGACATTTGTGTTTTTATTCTTCTTTCTTAATCCCTTTCTTTGCCCACAAGACTCCTCTTTCTGCTCTATTCCCAGCTGTTTTAGTTTCAAACTGCTGCAATTTTTTCCTGTGGGGAGTTAGAAATATAGGTTGTTTCCAGGCAGCACGCATTTTATTCTCAAGGCTTGGGCACTGCAACACTTTTAACATTGCATCAGAGTTAGATTTTAAATTTTTTTTTAATAGGTCAGAGTTGGGGAGTGGAGAAGGCTTTTATAGCTAGTAAGTCAAGTTCTTTACATCTAGAGAACATAGAATAAATTCAGAGAACCAGGTCAGAGAAGCTTGTTTCAGTTCCTCTCATGCCGTTTCCAAAATGCCTGAGTATGCATAGAAGTGAGCTATCTTCTTAAAACAGGACTAACCTTAAAATAGTCCTCATTATGCATGGAGCTGAGAAGTCTTTCTGACTGCACATCTGTCCGTGCAGTTATTGTGAGTGTTGTTGTAGGAGGCGAAGAGCTGGTGCTGGCACTGCTCTGCTCAGCCTCTCTCCCTTCACATGCAGCACTGCAACACGTGCTATGGTTCATCAGCGCTGGCAAGCAAGAGGATAGTGGTGCTGTTGTAAAAGTGGGTTCATTGTTACTGCTTCTGTATTTGAAAATGAATACTGCATAATAGTAAACTTTTTGAATCTGGCCTTTTGAAAGGATGCCAGGAGGTCGCAGCTGGGTTGTCTGATTGTCATGGTTTAGCCCCAGCCAGCAACTAAGCACAACGCAGCCGCTTGCTCACTCCCCCTGCTCCAGTGGGATGGGGGAGAAAATCAGAAGAGTAAGAGTGAGAAACTCTCCTGGGTTGAGATAAGAACAGTTTAATAATTGAAATAAAGTAAAATAGTAATGATAATAATAACAATATTATAATAATAATATACAAAGCAAGTGATGCACAATGCAATTGCTCGCCCACTGATACTCACCCAGTTCCCGAGCAGTGATTGCTCCCCCGAGCCAACTCCCCCCAGTTTCTATACTGAGCATGATGTCATATGGTATGGAATAGCCCTTTGGTCAGTTTGGATCAACTATTCTGGCTCTGCCCCTTCCCAGTTTCTTGTGCACCTGGCAGAGCATGGGAACCTGAAAAGTCCTTGACTAGCATAGGCAGTCCTTAGCAACAACTAAAACATCAGTGTGTTATCAACATTCTTCTCATCCTAAATCCAAAACACAGCACTATGCCAGCTACTAGGAAGAAAATTAACTCTATCCTAGCCGAAACCAGGACACTGATGTGGATCCTGAAGTGGTAGAGTATTAACGTACGTTAAATGAGGTTTAGTTGTGGCTCAGTGGGTTCTTTCCTCTGACCTACGCTGATTTATTGTGCAAAACACATAGTCCTCAGCTCACTCAGCATCATATCTTGATTTTTAAATTGGGGGATTTTTTCCCCCTTTTTTGAGTAAGATAGTGGTTTTTTGTATGGGGAGTATAGCTATGTATTACAGTACTTATACATGTCTCCTTTACATTTTCTTTTTTCCCATCACCATAGTTTATAAAGCCAGGGTTAGGGGATATACTTAGTGGTAATTTGGGTAAGGTGTAAGGAGGGAGAATAGAGGGAAAGCAGTCTGATGCATTACTTCCTCCATCTGGTGGAAAGAGAGTTCATTTCTGACTGTAGCTAGAGAAGGAAGTAATATTGTAGACATGGTGGTGTAAGAATACCAAGAGGGTGAGATTTCTGTAGGAAAGGGATATATTTCACTGAAGCAATTAATAGAATTAGAAAATACAGACAGCCCTTTTGGAGCTCTTCTTCAGGAGGGGTGTTTTCACTAGGATGCATATATTGTAAGCACATGTGCATGTTAATTACAGCATGCTGGATAATGAGTTTGGTTTCTTAAAGGATTCTTTTGATATTTTTCAGTATTTCTTACCCTGAAATGTCAAGCCATTGTGTGGGTAATTAAGTCATACTGAGACAAGTAGTGGCAGATATACATCACTTTTTGTGAGGTGCTTCTGGATCACGGCATCTTTCCCATTAGTGGAAGTGGAGGGTCTGAGTTCTCCACTGATAACGTTGCAGAGACCAACATAAATGTAGAGGAGCTTCGCACACATGTACCAGTCTGCCAATATCCTGCATAATGTGTTGGAAATGTGAAAGAAATGCCCTTGTAATATAATCTCTGTTTATTTCCATTTTTATATTTTAACCTCATGTTTTTTTCAAATTGAAATACCTTTTTTTATAGAGCCCTTCTGTTACAGGAACTCTTGAAACATGTTCTTGTGATACCAGAATTTAGAAGCCCTGGCACAAGAAAAATGTATGTTATCTTTGGCATTCAGTTTAAGCTGGTATTATGACACAGACAAGAAAATCTTGACTGTAGTCTTACTATCTTTTGCTGGAGTAGGCAATTTCTTAATAAGAAAGTGAACTATTTACTGTAATAAGAAAATATAAATACAGATATTCTCTTACCTTATATACAAACCGGCACTATAAATGTGAATGTACCTTTCTCCTTGAGCTGCTAAGCAATCGTTTGCCTTTTTCCTGGGGAGCAAGAGTTTAAACAAGAGTTTAAACAAAAAATAAGTCTTTGTTCACTCAAAGCCAGGTTGTGCAATGTATGACTTTTTACTAACTAGTCAGACTTCTTAAAGGAGCAGATATGTAAAATAACACCACTTGTTACGATGGTATTTGTAGCTGTTACATGTGAAATGTCTTTAAAATGAAGTTTTGAATATATTCAGTGCCTTGGAAGAGATGAGGTTGGAGCACTGGACTCCTGAATTTTAATTGCAGCTTTGATGTTCTCCCTCTGGAAAGCTGGAATTTTATTTTTGTCTCCAATTCCTTATGTCTAAATGTGGGGAGATAACTTTGTCTTATCTTGTTAAGTCATTAAAGTTTGTCAAATGCTTTGAATACAACAAAACTTTGTTATAAATGCTGAGTATTGTCTGGCTTTTTCTGCACAGTGTTGACAATTTTGGACTTGGTCTTCTGCTTCAGACTAAGCAGATAAAACGCATGGTGTCATCATATGTTGGAGAAAACGCTGAATTTGAACGCCAGTATTTATCTGGTGAGCTTGAAGTTGAGCTTACGCCACAGGTAAGGAGCGTCTGTAGGAGACTGGTGATTTCTTTTTGTCTAAAATACTGAGTAGAATAATAATTAAGTGCTGTTATAAAATTATTTTGCAATCCAGATGTTTTGCTTGTGTGCAGATGTGCAGTAAAGACAGATGGCACTTGCTGTCTTAGGATCATGGGCTGTAGGCTGCAACTGGTCTGTTAAGAACTGAGTGGTTGTAGTGTGTGAATTCCTTTTGTGACTTGTTACATTATATTAATTTTGTGTGTATGTGTATATATAGATAGATATATACATATAGTTGCTGAATTCCCGCATTGGTGGCAGCTCCTGTGTGCTTTTGGGGATGTTGTGTGTGCAGTGTCTGCCACCTAGTGGGTAGGAGTCAAGTTAGGAGATTTCAGTTCATTGTGAGACAACTCTTCTGGGCTTGTCATTAAATCTTAACTAAATTAATTTCTGCATAGCATTATGAGCCAATATTTACAACTTTACTTTTTAGCACCGTAGTTTTAATTATTTTAGCACTGCCAAGCTACCCAAATAGCCTGAATGCAATGAGATCCTAAAATCATGAGTGTCAGTCACATTATATTGAGATCTAGTTCTGTGAAATTAGTACTCTTAACTTTAAAGCCTACAGCATATTAGTGTGTGGCATTTCCAAAGGTGACACATAACCTTTGTGCTTTAAACAGCTATTGATTTAAGTCCCTGGGAAAACCAACAGTCTTAAGTTTTTATGGAGAAGAGGGTCTTGGGCTCCATCTCTTAGGAATGTCTCTTAGAATCCCAGAGGTAGGCAGAAAAGCTCCTTTTATACCCAGTCAGCTGACATGGAAATAACCAGGGACTTGTCACTTCTCATGTTTCAAAAGTTGCAAATCTCAGAATTCATTTTTTTCTTCTTCCTACTTAATGTTCAGTGCTTTCATCTAGAAGACCTTGAACTCCTTAGACATGTAATTGGCTTTGTGGACTGCTGTTTTAGAGTAGTTTTGAGGATTCCCGGGGAAAGAATGGCACGCACACACAGACTATCTAGCAGCACAAAAGGCTTTATTAACTACTAAAAGAGTTTAGCAAAGCAATAGTCTTACCAACCCAGGGACTGTGAGGAAGATGTGCCGTCTTGCGCTGTGAGTTCAGCCCACCGGTCAGTAGGTGCCAGCTTTGTGTGGGCGTCCCCACGGAGGCAACGGTGACCTCGCTGTACACCGGCCCACCCCTCTTCAGGAAATCCCGGTATTTGTATTGCAGAGGAAAATGAGTTTTGACACACGTGACCAGTGGGTGCTGAAAACACGCCTTGGTTGCAACAAAGGGAGCCTGTGGCGCATGTGCCCGCTGGTCAGGCACGCTGCACGCGACATAGTCATCCTGTCTATTGGTTCATGGGCTTTCTTCACACGACATATTACCATAATCCAGCAGTCACGTATCAACCTTGCTCAAGCCAATAACAAGATGCTTACAAAGCAAGGAAAATCGTGAGCTGTGCCCTGTATCTTCCCAGTTGCACCTCCTTGCTGACCACAGAGATAAGAAAGCTGAGAAATGATCCTCCCTAACATTTCTCAGCCCCCTCGACTCCACGATCAGCATTTCAAACAATAAATTACCTGTCTCCTGTGCTAACTGCATTCCTCGACTATCTACTTCTCATCCAGTGTCCATCCAGGGACCAAAATTCCATCTTTTAACCCTTCTGTACACAACTGCACAGACAAGCTATGTAGATCCAGAATGAAAATACTGGGTCTACAGTGTGCAGTGGTAAACAGTAAAGTGAATTAATGACTTGCTAGGAGATGCAGGGATTTGAAAGATTTGTGTGAAGTTAAAATAGCCTTTTGGAAAATGCTCTTCAAGTTTGGTGTGACTTTAGGCAAAATGGGGAACTGTTGTGTCCTTGTTACACAGTGAGGTAATGAGGTCATGGTGAGATCTTGAAATGCTAAGGCTGCTTGGAATACAAGACTTTGCCTCACTGTGTGGTTCACATCTGCCTCTTGCCACCATTTTGTAAACCTACCAGAAGTCATTGTGTTTCTTGCAGGATGACTGGGGAAAATGCAACCGATGAACCAAAGTTTTGGAGACTGTCAAGCTAGATTATTAACCGTGATGTTCTTGTCTTGCTTTGAATCCAGAAAAATATCAAAAAAAAACTGGGAAAGGACACTAATGAAAAGCAGGCAGACATGTCTTTGGCCATAAGTCCATAATTAAGGCTGATGAGGAATTTGGGCTGTTAATATCCATGGTACAGCTGGACATAGAGCAGAGTGCAGATGGGGTAGTCAAATAGAGTAGAAATGCTGTTCTGTCAGCTTCTTGGTATTCTCAGCACAGGCAACCTACATCACTGGACTCACTGTTCCTTTCTTGATCTGCTATGTGTGGCTGTTGCAACTTGGAGTGAGGTATGCAGTTTTACTTAAGACATTGTAGAATGAAATGTAAATATGTAGGACTGATATGAAAGAAAAACATTCTAGCATATGTAGTCAGGTGGGAAAGAGAAAAAGGACTGTACTCTTCTCAGAATAATGGGTTGGGAAACAAGTTGAAGGAGAGGAAACACAGCAAAGTGCTGGGGCTTGGGCATTGACAGTGAGTTGAGTGACTGTGTGCTCTTGAGCAATAGATGGCTGTGTGTGAAGCATTTCTTGCCGTATCCAGTACCAATCCCACAAAGGAGAGCTAAAATGGGAGGACGACGTAGATGTGATGGTCTGCTGAGTTCAGAAGAAATGACAGGATATAAAAATAAGTTCATGCAAGCCATTCATCAAAGTTTGATTTATTATTTCCAAATGACTAGTTCTTAAATGTGTTTTCCCATAGGGTACACTCGCTGAACGTATTAGAGCAGGAGGAGCAGGAATCCCAGCATTTTACACCAGTACTGGCTATGGGACGCTGGTGCAGGAAGGGGGTGCGCCTATCAAGTACAACACAGATGGCACCATTGCCATTGCCAGCCAGCCAAGAGAGGTAAGATGTCCATTTGTTATTAGGCAGCCTTCTGCTTTGAAAACTGAATTTCTTACATACTTCCAAGATAAACAGTAGTTTAAGCACCCCCTGGCCAAGTTTCACCTTGGTATATTGGATTAACAGGATGGCTGTGGTACCAGACACATGAGGTTTCCGCCTGCTGCTCCTTTCTGTCCTCTGTGATGTGTTTAAAAGTTTTTACAGCTTTAGGGTGACTTAGCATTAAGAGCTGGTCCAAGTGAAAACCTACCTTGCTGAGTTACTCTTCACTTGACAGTTCTCTGACCAGGTTCACTGTGTATTCAGACAAAATCTTGTACCAGGCCAGTGCAGTGTACAGTATGGGTTGAGAACAACCTCCTGTTAGTGGGGCAGATGCTCCTTAAATACTGTAGCATGGAGTAAGCAGCCCTGCAGCTGTACATGAAGGTTTAGCATTAGAAGAGATGGGATGTTTTCCTGTTGAACAGGGAGGAGCTCAGTTAACGCAAACTTTTGGGAAACGCATTTGCCAACAGTTGAAATGCAATTTAGTCAGAGTATTTGAAATTGCGAAGAAATAATAAAAGAGTGTGGCTTCCAAGTGAGAAACAAGGGCTTCATATTGAAATTGGATGTAGAATTTGGAGAAGGGAAGAGATTTCTCAGTGCCATAACTGTACTTGAAGAAACGGATGGGGCTAATGCTGTATGTTTCATTATTATGATTATGCTGCAAACAGTATTAATTTCTGCCTCAAGAATGTCTCTGGGGTAAAGGTAATTCCCCCCCTCCATGTTTTTTGTGTCTTTTATACAAGTCTGTTTCCAGTATCTAATCATTAACTTAGTCTTTTTTCCCTTAATTTTCTTACCCAATATGTCATTGTGATGTTTTACCATTTGAAGGAATGTTTTGTTTAATAAATAGCTTATAGTTTTCATAACATTTTTCTTCTAATTTTAACATTTGTGGAAAAGTCTCTTTTACTCTCCTCAGTATTTTGGGGGGCTAATAACATGACTAGCATGATTTGATCAAACCTGTTCTCCAAATCCATTTTGAATGCAAGTGTCATTTTATAAAAGCTCAGATCTCCTTTTACAGGACTGAAAAACTGACTTCTGATACACTTTTGTCATACTTCCTCCCCCTCTCAGAAATTTTAAACAGCTCTCAAGTAGTATTTGTGTATACTCCTACGTTGTTAAGAGAAATGGTGTTTCATGTTTCTGTATGGGATTAAAATACTAGCTGTTTGTCAGTTACGTATTCTGGCTTCAGTATCATTACAAATATGGGTCATAAATGCAAAGAAAACCAAATGAAATCCAGCCTGCCAGATGATGTGATTTGAGTACTCTGTCTCGAATCCACTTCATTTTAGATTTGGGGTATCTGGTGGTAGGCAGTGATATGAACTTTTTCAACAGTTCTGCTTTAGCACTTCAGTTTTTGGTTAGCTGGTAGATGTGCAGGAAAAAGCATGTCTAATTCCAGTAGATGGAGCAGCAGGGATATGGATCTGATTCTCATTCTGTTTCACTGAACAGAGACACTATAATGAAACTGGGGTTTACAGCCTTTCAGTGCTTCTCTGTTATTATACAGTTGAGCTACAGTTTTTCAGATAAAACTTTATGTAGTCCAGAAAGAAGTCTAAACATAATCTGTAAAATTAACTACATAAAATGAATATTACATGGGAGATCTGTTTGAAGAAACCTACATCTCAATAGTGTACTTTTTTCTGTAGGTGCGAGAGTTTGATGGACGTCACTTTGTTCTGGAGAAGTCGATTACAGGGGACTTTGCTCTTGTGAAGGCATGGAAGGCTGATCGTGCAGGAAACATTATTTTCAGGTATGACTTGTTTACCAGTGGGAAAAGGTTCTTTAATGGTTTAGATAATGAAAGAGAAGGAGAATCCTGTCTCCTGTGTGGTGACAAAGTAATGTTTTACTGATTTCACTTTCTTTCATACTGCAAATTATACTGCTTTGAAAAACAAAATATAATTGCTTTTTCTAATGACTTTTGAGAATTCAGACATAGCTGTGAAATGAAACATTGGTAGTTAAAAATGAGACATAGCAGACTAAAGTCATTATGATGACTGTGGAGAAATGTAGTGACATTCTGTTAATTTCAATTTTCATGTTAGTTTGGGTCCTTTTCCTTGTGCAATTGAAGGCTGACCCAAAAAGTGCAGGTTCATGTATGTCAGAAGAGAAGGGAGCTGAGTCAGTCTCCTGGCCATTCAGTAATGGAAAAACTCAATTCTGCCCCCAGAAAAGTGTGTTTAAAGTCGATTTGATCTCAGTGGTGTAGGGAGAGGCATCATAAGAATTTAAACTTTTTTGTAGTGATAACATTGGGCATTGCGCTAGTGATAACATTGTTTGTTTGAGTTGCTGTATTTGTCCTCTGGTTTGTCCTGAGCTGAAGCAGGAGAGGTTTGCTTATGTTTAATGTCTGGTTTTTATTTGTTTGTTTTATGGCTATCAGATGAAAAGGTTAAGTGTTGTGGTAATCCGTTGCAGTTTACTACAAGATGCTGAATGATTCAGTCTGTCTTTGTATGTATTAAACCAAACAAGAAGTTGAAAAAGCAACTGAAAAATATGCATATAAAATAATACCAATAAAATAATGCTTTTTTTGTGTATATACGTATATATACACATGTATCCACATACATGTTTATCCATTTCTCTTATAATAGTAATATTAAATTAAAATACTTGAAAATCAAGAAAGAATTTTGTATTTTACCCAACTCTTGACATCCTGGCTTGCCCGCTGGCAAGACAAGATGGTTTTTGATTGAAAAGTGAACTTTTTTGTGTGTGTGCACATGAATTTGATGGCTGCTAAACTGCTTTCCTTAGGCTCTGGGATGTGGAATACAGGAAACAGTCTTCCCCCTTGGGCTTGTGTGTCTTTGATCTTGAGTCTCTACTGTCTGTGCTTTTATCCCATATCTATCTACTGATGCTTGCTTACCTCTGGAAAATTCTTTCATTCTCCACAGAAACAGACTGGTTGCATTCTCCCCTTTTCCCCCTCTTCCTTTCTGTCCTGTGGTCTCTCTTTATGCCTTTCCCTCTCTCTGCTGTTCCTTACAGAAGTCTTCATGTGTCTTCCACATTCACACAATACAGTTGATACTAGATACTACTTCCATCTGGAGTGGAGACCTGAAAATCTTGATTCCTTCTTCCAAGTGTAACTAATCAAAGATGGAACCGTCATCATCCAGTGTTTTATTCCATGTAGAGTACTGCTAGCTTAAAAGAATTTGCTCATAATAAGGAGCGATGCATTCTATTTTTGGATGAGACGCAGATTACCTCATGGCCTGCAACAGAGAAACATAGGCTCATCTCATAGCCTGCGGGAGACAACAGAGGAGGAAATTATAATAGATTAGAATATAACAGCAATATTTCTATGATCTAGAGGATGAAAAGGAAAATGTATTTTTGACTTAGCGCTACATACTGAGTATGTATTCACTGCCAGTGGGATCCTTCCATACTTGTTCTATTACATGACTGCTGCTTTTGTTTGCTGAGGTGTGCCTAGGTAGACATAGGTGCTGTGTTTACTCGCATCTGCCACCGTTTTCATGGCAGTGTGGTACTATTCATAGTGTGTTTCCCACCTGCTATGTGTGGCGCCAAGAGGAATGGAGTGTCTACCAAACTGTTAATCACCCTTAAGCTAAGAGCTTTTTTAAACCTAAAGGAGGTACTTTAGGTAGATTTATTTGGACCACAGACCAGCATGAGTTTTTTTGTCTATTTTTATACATGAAGCTGTACTGTTTTCTTGCGGATCCGGAATGGCACCAGCTCCTTTAGAAAGCAATTTTTTTAAACAGGGTTTTTCTACATGAGACTTTGTGTCCCCTAGCTCTTTTGTTCCATACAGCATACTGGGGCTGCTTTCCTTTCCGGCATCTTTATGTTGAGTGGGCTATTCTGCACCACAACTTTTGACTAACAAGACCTGCATCTGGCCCAGCAGCTAATAGTTCTTAGGTATAGTGCGCCATTACCAAAACAAATAATCCAAGACTCCCTGAAACATAATGAAATAATCCCCACCTTCTTACTGTGCTAGCTGAAAGGATGTGTATATGGCATTTCGCTTTGTTAGTTTGATGCAGGTATAGTTCTACTTAGCAGAACAGAGTGTCTCCAGGTCTTAAGCTCCCTTGGAGCTTTGCTTGTTAGGGACAACAGCAGGGAGTGCCACTGCTTTTGTGGCTGTTCTGCTTCCTTTGGCTCCCCTTGCTTTTCATGTGGTACCATTCTGCTTTGGAGTTGTTCTAGCCCAATATAGTTCCACCTTACAAGCAGAGGTGTGGTTTGGTGCTGATGCAAGTACACTTGACAAAGGAACAAGGATGCTGAAGGGGTAACCTGAGTCAGAGCCCCTGCTGTCACAGACAGTCGTGTCAGGTCATCTCTTTGTGCTTCAAGTGGTTCTGCAATATGTAAATTCAGCTTGTATCTGAGGTGTCCCTTCATCTCTGCACCAGTAGGTAGTGGATTTAGTTCGTTGGTTTAGTCTACTATGAACTAGTTTACTATCTTTGCCTTTGGGAGAAAAACTGTTGTCATGCCTTTGGGTCAGCTTAGGAATCCATCGCTGGAACAATGGACTTTGTAGACGTTGCTGAGTCTAGATGTCCAGAAAACTATCTCAAAATAAAAAGGCCGACTGGATTTCATACTCCAAAAACCTGAACATAGTTCTGTGTTGGAAAACAGGTATAAAGTTTCTGTTTTTTCTTCTGGATGATATGTTCTTTAGAAAGAAGCCCTTTGATCTTGTAAAAGACTGCTGCTTCTGCAACAACTTATTAACTCAAGAACATTCTAAATTGCATAAGCTTTTATAAATAGGGTCAGAATCAAGCCCATTAACTCTTCTTAATTTGACATTGGAATGTTTTCTTGTTAACTTTTTCCCCTATGTAAAAATAAATTTCTCTCAAGTTTCTTTTACTGGCAGACCAGCCACTATGATCTTGAGAAAGTCTTTGGCTCAGAAAAGTAGTCACTTGGGATGAAATACTGAATTCTTTGTTTCCACATCTGCCTTCCCCCATCTGTGTCCATTCCCTGCTATTTTAATTCAGCTTTTGTAACTCTATTTTTTTTCTCATTTTTCTACTCTACCTAGTTTAGGGTAGTTTTCCCTAAATCACTACTAGCTAGTATTGTGTTCATGCACTAAGAGAAGAATATAAATTCAAGTACTTTTTTTTTTTTTAAAAATCATTTCCTCTTCTTACATCCTTTTGTGTTCACACTGCCACAGCGGAGACCCATGGACAAAAGGTATTGTCCCTTCTGTAGCCTCTGTTAGAGGCTTCACAGCTGCTGTGTATTACCAATAAAACAGGGGTTTCCCCAAGATATGTGTCTTTGGGTATGGCTTTGATTCTGTAAGTCTCTGCACTAGAAATCCTGGTAAAACTGCATGGTTGTCTCCGGATTTGGCCATTTCAGTTCCCTACCTACCCCACAGTCACGAGGTGGCAGCAGCACCCCAAAGGTCAGCACGGCTGCAGCACTAGGCATGGTGATCGCACAAAAGGGTAGGGCAAGG